TTTCGACGGTAGATGATGAATTTAGCATAAATGTTTCTCAAAAAGCATCACAATGATGGTTTTTACTGAATTTCGTTCCCCCAATGCTGAGCTAATAAAATGAAACTTCAATCGATTTGAGTCACTTCTAATTTTTATTGCTAGCGCATGTTTGTTCCACAGAAACTAAGTACGATATGGCTTTAGCGCAACACTTAGTAAAAGAAAACGGTTTTGCGCTAGAAAGCAGATAGATATAAAACAATTTATTTCCTACAGCTCAATCAAAACCTCATCATAGATGCTGTAAGTTTCTAGAATTTTATTCTACATGATGGAGATGGTTAAAAGTTGGAATAAATTAAAAATAGGTTTTTTATTTCCTCAAAACTTTTTTATAAAAGCTTTTTCACTAATTTTGAGTCTAACGAAACGAAAGAAGCAAGCGAAATAAGCAGGCTTGCGTCATCGATCATACTTCACTCTGAAACATCATGCCAGACAAAATAGACTAAAAAATTTCTTATAAATTTAGAATATAGATTATATCAATAAAAAAACCGTAAATCAAGAAACTGCCCTTGATATCGCTAAACACTATCATCATTATAAAGCATATGAAACTCTCGTGGGTGAAAATAATGCCAACGATCTAAAGTCAGTGAAGATTGCAGATTCAATATATCAGGCTATATTGGCATCTAACGCTGACAAAGTAATCTCTATCCTGTCAAACTGTCAGAGAATACCGGTAAATGAACATGAGGAAACACCGATGCACGTGGCTTGCATCCATGGCCGCCTCGAAATCATTGAGAAACTATTGAAAGATCCACGACAGAGTGAAGCCTTTTATAAAAAAGAAATACAGTACGGCTTCACTCCGATACTTGTTGCTGCCAAAAAAAATCGTCCAAACTGTGTTGTCAAGTTGTTTGACCATCTTGTTAAACAACAATTTACAGACACACAAAATATAGACACTTTTGCAGAAACTCTGAGAAGTAAAGGGAATCGAAATATTTTTCATATATGTGCTCAATACTTACGGCAGGATGTGGTGAAAGTACTAATAGAACACATAGCTAAAAATTACAGCAATGAAACACTGATCAACTGGATACACGAGAAGATACTCATGGGCGTCACTGATGATACGGGTGAAACACCTTTACACATAGCAGCACAAATTGGCGAAGCAAAATTTTGTGAAGAATTACTTAGGTTTGAAACTATTCGTGCTAAGTTTTGTAAACGCACGGGACGACAAACTCAGCTATCGCTCTGGTCTATTGCTGCTTTTGAAGATGGTGATGGTGGTAACAGAAGCACAACACAAGTACTAAGAAATCGAATTCAAGATGCCGAGGAGCAAGAAAATGATGACAATAATATGGAGGAGACACATGAAGATCGTCAGGTACTAGATTTGCATAATAGAGGGTGCAATGTACAGCCAAAATCCATCCCTAATGTATTGCGGTGAAGAAAGCACTTGGAAAAGTAATTTTTACATCTTCATCAGAATAGCCTTGTAAAATCGCTTTTAAACCATAAGAATTATTAATTGTTCTGGAGTTTCG